TACACACCCTGGTCTCTCACCAAACACCTCCTCTGGAGCTGCTCCTAAGGGTGACCCAGTACCCACAGCACCCAACAAACACAGATCTCACCATAACAAAAACCTCTGCCTAAATCACAGAAGAATTTAATTAGCAAAGAACCACCAGCTTTTACCAATCCACACAAGATTTGTACCATTCAGTTGCAAATTCTGAGCAGGTTCCACTCTCCTCTCTGCCTTCTTTATGGTTCTTAAATGATATTTCAGTATCTTACTACAACTTCTCCACAGGAGATTTCTGATTTAACAATGCAGCAAGCTGTCAATACCTATATATTAATGTATAAGGATAAGGTAGCCTCTTATAAAATGCAGATTTACAAAATCTTCTGAGAGATTTTAAATATCACATCTATCTTGCATGCTGTATACCATAAACCCACTACAAGTGTAATTATATATAATTAGTTGTGTGTTTGTAAACCCAACAGCTTAATCATGTTTAATTAACCACATTGTAATTGGAACATTCGATAGTTAAATGTTGTCTTGCTAAACTGATGAACACCTGGAACACGCAATTACTTTCACCACCAATAAATTAACTTTAACTAAAATCTGTCATTAGTAATTATTTTCCTTCCTTCCCGGTAGACCACAAGGATTAGAGATAATAAATAGCCAAATCAGATCCATAGCAATTTGTTAAGACCACAACTGCAGGAGCCCTCCTGCTGCCAATTTTACTTTTCTCTAATATATTCTTTAGCAGAGATTACTAACTGCTGCATAAGGCATTTTTTTCCCTTGTTTTTTTATTTCCAAAACTCATTTTTATCAGAGGCTTGGGGGGCGGGGGGGAGGGAGGCACGGGAGGAAAGGTTGGCTTTGTTCTTAAGAACTACCAGGTCAAATGTAGCAAGTTACTTGCAGGTGAGGAGCAGAGAGAAAGGCTCACCCCTCACTCAGACTCCTCACAGAGGGTCTGGCTGCTGGTTTGCCAGCAGGTCTTAGCACATGTAAAAAATGGGCACACGCAGAGGGAATATCTTCACACAAGCACTTGGAGCCATTTGCTTACCCATTTCAAGGCACACAGACACATAAAAATGAGAGGCCTTAGAAAAGTGTCCACTTAGAAAAATAACTGGAACACTTTCAGAAGAAGAGAAATCAGACAACACAAAACACACCCTGCATTAAACTGCAGGGTGTATTATCGGTAGGTCAAGCACTCCTATTCACTGTCATTATTCCCGATCATTGGCATCTGCTGTGGAACCAAGAGGCAGCAAATCTAAAATGATGAAAGGAAATAAACACAATGCAACGACAGATTGCTCAACTGTCATATCACAGCCTTGAAATCACAGGATCAGGCGGCCTTAAAAAAGGACTAGACATTTGTACAAACAAGAACATACACCATCATAAGGATTTAATAATGGTTTGAAGCCCATGACATACCTCTCGAGATGCAGCTGGTACAGGGAGCTGGGGGTACCATTGCTGCTCCCAGGCTTCTTGCAGCAAATTCAGAGCCAGCTCCCACTGAATATTGACACCAACATCTATAAACCTGACTAACAACAAGACAGTGAAAAGAAAGAGCAATTTCTTTCAATCTGGACATATCTGGAGCAGCTTCATTTTGTGTACACAGATTCCAGTTTCCTTAGGTGAGCCAGAAATATATTGCAGTCTCTTCTTTTGCACACTGGTACAGAGAAATGAGAATTCAATCAGGCCCTGCATCACTGTGGATGGGATAGTAGGGAATAGGCAGAGGTAGAAAATTATGTGAGGCTGTGACAAACAAGAAATGAGGTGTTGCAGATGCAGAATCTCTGAGTTAAAAAAAACCCCACATAATCACTAAGGCTTCACAGAGCCTTTCAACACAATGTTGGCAGTACTGATACCTGGCAGACAAACACCAATATGGAATTTTCAGCGTAAGTGACAGAAGTTGTTGAAAAAATTCCTTGAAGTTGACCAGTCAATTCAACTTACCCTTCATTAGCATGACCAGGTTGCTATTCCATTACCTAGGCAATGTTTCACACACATAATTTGCCTGTAGCTGCACACATGTCCACTATTTTCACAGATTTAACTCTAATGGAAGGATTGCATCTCCCAAAACTGTCTCTAGGAAATTTTACATCTCCTATAGCAAGTGATATAACAAAAGATGAACTATCAAATGAACTGCTGCTAACACACTGCATGGAAAAAAAATCAGATCTCTTGCATGCTGTAATACATGATACAGGTATTTGCCTCAAGCAAACTAAAAACTGAATGGCAGAACCAGCTGATAGTCTGAAAAGTTTACCTCCTCCTTTCTCTACTGCTTAGGTGCAAGAGCGTTAATCAACAGAGCAAAGGATTATTTGTACTTCACTGAGATTAAAAAGGGTAAATGCTAAAAATGAATCCACAGCCTTCACTTCAAGCAATAACACACAGTGCTTCAATAAAGGAGGAAACAGCTTTGATGGAACATCAAATGGGATAATGAAAAAGATCACTGAGATGAGCTTGACATGAATATTGGGCAAAATTTCCTTTCAGGAAAAAGGAACTCAAGCCCTGCCTTTATACCTGATCTGATTTTTAACATGGTGTGTGTGGGGAGAAGGGGTCTATATGACTGGCTGATGACAAAAGAAACCAGTGGCTATTTGCCAGCCAGGAAAATGTAGATTCAGCTGAATCCCTGATGCTTCTCCAGAATCAGTCAGCCACCAGGAGGGCTGGGGAACGAGAGATGTGCAACGACAAAGACAGCATGAACTGAAGGAGTAGTGGAAAAATAATTTTTCATTATCCTCCAGTAACTTTTCCATTACTTTTGGATTTATAATTGATATTCTTCCTCTGACAAGGGGGAAACTGGGCCTTAAGCAAACCCAACCAAGAATTAAAGGATAAATATTGCCTAATGACAGGCAAATGGCATTAAAACGTAGGTGGCATAAATGAATGTTGAAGCTTTGTCCCTGCTCAGCAGAACTCAAGTCAAAAAAGAACCCCAGCATTCCTCAGGGAAAAATACAGCAATATTAAAGGTGAAACACAGAGAGGAGTGAAAGAGCTGAAATCAGCTCAGATTTTCTTTCTGGACAACTTGTAAACATCACAGATGTATTTAAGGACATCCTTTTTTTTTTTTTTTTTTAATTCCTTGAGATTTGCAGCTGAAACATGAAAAAAAATCCAGAAAGTAGCAGAACTTTCTCAAATGCTGGGGTAAAGACTTCAAATCAGTTTAAAAACAGACAAAGAAAGAAAAGCAATTTCACAATCAAGTGCTAAAGCACTGAAGACATCGTTTTAACACAGAAACAGATGAACAGTGCAGATGCAACATTACAATCAAATTTCTACACACAGAAAAAGCACAGGGGAAGAGCCGAAAGTGGTATTTAAGGATGGAGATTGTGACCTAATGTGTATAATTAAGCCACTTGAATTAATTCGGCTCCCTTTGTTCTTTTTACAGAGAAGTGGAAAATCAACAGATAATGGTCCCACACTGAGTAAAGAATTAGGGCATTCCCCCCCCAAAAAAAATGCTTTGTCTTCATTAAACATAATGAGAAAAAGAGTTGCTCTACATGAAGAAGTTCAAGTTGTACAAAGTCAAAGCTTTAAGGGAAGACATCTACCCAAAAAAACCCTCAGTTATTTGACCAAAGTGCTGCCTTTTCCAATATACTATGGCAAATACAGTAAGGAATGACATATGGTTGGTGTGTCACACATACCTTATAAGACATAATGCACTGGTTATATTAGTCCAACAAAGTATTTCTAATTATTTCCTTATTTCTAAATATATAATTGGAAAAACGCTTTTTTTCCCCCCAAATACCATCTTTTTATACAGCAATAGCAAAATGCAGCAAGGATATTTAAAGTAATATGGTAAATAAAGTGTTAAATTGAAGGGAAACTGTATGAAGCAAAACTAGAAGTTGATGTTTCTGTCCATATTTTTTTTTTTTTTTTTTGTATCTTGGAGACGAAGTACCAAAGCAGCTTCCACATTGGCCTAGCCTCCTAAAAAGAGCTCCAGGTACCACGAGTCATGCCAGGGCTGCTGGAAAGATCATTAACGTCTTTGGGGACACACAGCTTGATGGTCATCAATCCAACGCATTCACAGAAGTCACCCCAGGCAAAGAATTCATTAATTCCAGGTCAAATAAAGTAGAAATAACCATGTTCAAAACGCAAATTATCTTTGTTTCCCATTTTTCACATAATGTTGAATAAAAGGAAGAGGAAAAACGCACTGATGCAGGAGGGAGAAATACACTCCCGTCACATGGTGGTACTTTTACAATCCTCCCTTTCCAAAGCTGAGTCTCTGCTTTCGGAATACAACTTGATATCATTCTGTTTCTTATTAAATTTTATTTCCTGTAATAAAAAAATTGAAGTCAACGGTAACAAAACTTGGTTTTTATCATATCTCTGCTGACCTAATTATCCTTTGAAGAGGTACAATCAATCACTATGGTTATAAATGTTAATGCAAGGGAAGGTGTTAATATTAGTCAGGGGAAAAAAAAATCACAAACTCCATTCTAATCCTCATGAAAGCAAATTAATAAATAAATGATCAGAAGATTAAAGTTTGGAGCACATTCCATAGACTGTTTGTCATCAAGCTTCATCCCCGAAGGTTAAGGAAATGCACCCATATGTCAACATTATCTAAACACTGTTCTGATCACCAACTGATCTTCACCTCTTGTGGTCTTGATCAGGCTCCTGGAAAAGCACACATGGGCACAGCACAGATTTTGGTGTGTGTAAAAATGCACACACACTTCCAGAGGTGCTCAAACTATTCTTTAACTATGGAACTTCTCAAAATACAGTGGCCCAGTAGTAACCTTTTGCTATCAACACATTAGATAAAGGGACAAAATCAAAACAATACAAGTATTCTTCAAAAAACCTGGGTAAACATCCTGGAAAAAGCAGCACTCATAATACAGATGTTAAAATAATTGTCTTTTTAATAACAAAGTTGTGTTTGCCATAAAAAAAACCTGTAACAGTTGTGATGCATCTATTCCAATGTAAATATATTAACTGTTAACCAAACACCGTTCCCTTGCAAGAAGAATTTCCAACTGATAGGTGAAATATATGGGATTATATATTACTACATATATTATACAATATATAACTCATGCTCAATAATTTCTCATTCCACATGTACAGCTAGAACTTAATAACCTTTGTCTAAAAGGTTACTCATCCTCTCCTTTAAATGCACCTCTTCAAGTCCTGACAATTTTTCCAATATAATATTATTTTTCATTTAAGTCATCTTGTCCAACAAAAACTTGCTGTATCCCACAACAGAATCCATTTCTTCTCCTTTCAGATCTCCTGCTCAGGTTTCTTAGGCCAACAACCCACACAGATCTTTGGTCTCTTCACACTGTGAGGTATACACTGTAGTCTAGAGGCAAAAAACCTGTAGAGAAAATTAGCATATACAGGATGCTGCTCTTTTTCACATTTCCAGCTTGACAGAATATAAGGTCATCTAAATTTTAAATTATACATCACTTCAATTACAACATCATAGCTTCATCTGAAGCTGGCAATTACGTCTTGTAAAGTAAATTAATACTTCACTTCAAGAAGCTGTAGAGAAGTCCAAACCTCTGAAGTGGGCTTTTGTTAAGTCATTAAATTAATGCACAGATTTGTCAGCTCTTTTCTCACAAGCTTTGATCAACTCCTTCCATCTTCTCAGTGTGCCTCCACACAGAGCTGTTTAACATGCTACAAACAGCATTATACATGAGTCCTGGAATGTTTCCTGTCAGACACAGGGAGCAGCACTTTGCCCTTCAGCTGTTATAGCAACTTCTCAATGGAGGCTTCATTTTCCACCAGACAGGCCTCAAACTCAAGTGTTTTCTTCTAACTGCTTTGCCTGTCAGACAGAAGATAAATAATTACTGAAAAATGTTTTACATACCTTCTTTGCCTTGTCCTATTTCACAGCCTAATATTAAAGGTGAAAGCCAGAATTCATTGATTTTTTTAAACATTAGAAGTGAAGTGGTATTTGAAAAGCTCAGAAGCTGTTGGGTTTTTTTTTTCCAGTTCAACTGAATGCAGTATTACTCCTGTATTAGGTATAGAAAGAGAGCAGAATAGTGTGTGTAGTATAATTAAACTGATTAAGTACAATAATTACCAGATAATTAACAAGATAGCATAGAAAGGAAAAACATGAGAAAACCACATATTCTTTTAATCCTACACGAAGCCTGCTTAATTTTAAGATACCAATTCCTTTCTTACAGAAATCCCCCCCCATCCCTCCCTTTTAAGACTAATTCTTTTGGGAAACCATTCCCAAACTGAGGGGATATACATTACATTTTCTATTCTATTACTTGTTGAATCAAAAAAAAATTTCATTTCCCACTTCAGAAGTTTCATTTAGTGCATATCAACAACAGGAAAACACTTAAAATGGCTTTAACCCAGGAGACTAATGAAGGATAAAACACTTCCTCAGATATATATTAATAGTAGATTATGTTCCACTATAAACATGACAAAAAGGCACAATCCAATATATAAAAAATACGCTTAGTTGTTTTCCTGTAAAAGCACAGGAATGTTACTGAAAGTATTGTGGCTGATTATTTCAGACTGTCTTTATAAAATCTGTTTTCCTTTAAAAGAAACAAAATCATATTCATTTATACATAATGTAAGACCTACAGATGAATGTTGTGGAGCCTTTTCATCCTTAAGAGCCAAGGAATAAATTTAATCTCTACTGAATGCTGGAGAAGGATGGTTCTAAAGGCTTCATGCACATGTTTGTTAATGCACAGTCTGACCAAGACGTAGGTCAGCCATAGTTCATATAAGATAGAGGGGAAAATAATGCAAAGGTATCATGAAAAAAAAAATATTTAATTACTCTGCCTCTTCATTTTTAAGCACTTGGTATCTGGGGCTCTGGAGGTCGTCGATGCTCTCAGCAATTGGCTTATTTAGTGTTTCTGGCAAAAGGAGAGTCAGGAATCCTGCAGACAGTCCAGTGATTCCAAACACCACAAATGGTACAGAAGGACTGAGAGACTTCTGAAATTAAAAACCCAGAGTAAAAACCCAGCATTCTTGCCTGCTCTCAAAAAACAAAAACCACAGTCAAAACCAAAAGACTACAACTTGTCACTCCAGCAGTTTGTGCAATTATCCATATTCTGGTAGAGGAAAGAAACCCAATAAATGCCATTTCACAGAAACAGCTTCATATGAAAGCTTTGTTTACATGTCTAAGAAAACTCAGATACTGAGTGAGCCTTAGCAGTACCAAAGGCATTACATGGCAACCATTTCACTCAGAGATGAAATAGTGACAACATAAGACATTAGACTATTTCCAAAAATGACAAAATACTAGGTATTTTTAAGCATTGTTCACTCATTCTTGAAATCGAGTGAACACTATTTAATTTTTCATAAAATCAATTTTTTTTTCCAAGGAATAGGGGTGGACATGATACCAAAAACAGTGAAGTGCTTTTAAGAGAATTTAATAAATCTGAGTTACATAAAAAAGTTGAAAATAATCTTACCAGAGATGGCACAAATGGAGCCAAAATGCCCCCAAATCTGCAAGACATGGAGCAGACACCCAAGCCAGCATTTCTGTTTTGAACAAAGGATGCAAAGTTTGTACTTTCAGAATACACAACTGAATCATGCATGAACATGTGGTGGCAGTGTCCGAGCCAACTTACATATATATATATAAAGTTATCTGTAATCTTGAATTTAAATAAAGTTTTTGAAGACCTCCAGTGGTTACTCCAAAGACTTTCCTCAACGGGGTGCAGGTAAGGTAAAATCACACGCTTTCAAACGCTCCCAAAACCACCCTGTTGTGCAATCAATCCTTCAATCAACCAACAAAGAGAGAGGCTTTCCAACCTGCACCCTAAGGCAATTTAATTGGGTATCCCTGAATGGAGAATGATTTCAAAATGTGGCAGGATCTTCAGAGAGAAGATGCTGAATATTATCTCCAGCTTGAGCTGCAGCAGCCTCTCCTCTGCCACCTCAGGGTCCACAGAGGAAAAGTCAGTGTTTACCTCCAAACAGAAAATAACTCTCTGCCAGTGAGAAGCTTGAAAACATCTGGCCAGATGTGTCACTACAGGAGCTGCTGAATTCTGTACTCCCTTCGATTTTCAGACAAGTTTAAAATAATCTCATCCAGACTGTGATAATCATGGCTTAGAACAACAAGATCCTCTTCAAAGGAAAGTTAAAAAGTCCTCAGAGTCTTTAATGTCCTGACAAATTGCAAAAACTCTTCCATCTCTGTATCATTCCTAAATACAGGATTTAACAGCCCTTCAGAGATGGGTGTCGGCACCAATCACCAGCGAGATGGTAACAACAAGGTCATGGTGGCTGCTCTCTCTGCATCGCTTGGTTCCTTTCTCTCATTCATCCTCATCCTCAGTCTCGCTGCTGAGCTGAGCTGTTCCTGCTCATCTTTTTTCCCCCTCCTGCTCACCCTTTTCCTCCTCCAAAGACAGGAAGACAGTGACAGGATTAAGGACTACGAGGAGAGTGGTGACACGGGTCACTGGTATCCCAATATCACCCACCTGCATGCCCCTTCCTAATGGCCCTTTGCCAGGTGAAGGGAAACAGGTGGAAGGAGCTGATGAGAGGCCAGTGACTTTGGAGTAAAATAAACAGAAAAGGCAACCTTTTCTCTCATCAAGTCCTCTTGGGAAAAGGAAAATAGCAACCCACGTTTCCTCACAGTTAGGCCACATCAACCCAAACCCCACAAGACAAGGCCAAGCACCTCCCATGCCAACAAAATCCCTGCATGATGGGACACACCAGTCTGTGTGTGAACCATTCCTTTGGAAGCATCCTTCCCACAGATTCCAAGCCTGTCCATGCCCAGAGGTTTGCTGGCTTCTTAACTTTCTGCTGAGAGGGAATATGTTAAAATGTGATCCTAAATGCAAATCATATCGTTGCCATTCCAATGCAAAATGAAAGCAGTTATTAGAAGACCCAAGGATAGTTTCCCCACTGTGAAAATAATCAAATAGCTTAATAATTACTGAAAATAAGCAAAAAAAGCTGTCCTAGGCAGTGCAATGGCTTCACTCTGATTTCACCCAAGACACACAAGGATGTCATCATTTTGCAACTACTTTCTCATGAAAAAACCCCCATGAATTTTTACATCTATATCACTGGAGCTATGATTACAATTTGTTCCCAAAGATAACCTTCCTCTTTGTCCAAAATGCAACAGCAGTGAAATTTTCTATTTTTAACTTTTTTTCATTCCCCAGCAGGTATTTTAATGACACATCAAAAAGGAAAAAAAAAGCCCCAAGCCCAAAGACTCCCCAGCCTGCAGGTATTTTAATGACACATGAAAAAGGAAAAAAAGCCCCAAGCCCAAAGACTCCCCAGCCTGCAGCACTGCCCTGTTTATACCATGAGGTGTATTTGTCACCGCTGCATGTACCAGTTAACTTAAAACAGAGGCCTAACAGTCCTCATACTTAAAATAGTAAGTTTAAATACAGAGCAGTAATACTGAAGACATTTAATTTTTCTGCAAAACATCCACCTGAAAAAAAAAAAAAAAGGCAAAAAAATAGTTATTCCACCTCCTCTGCCTTTGAATGTACATGTCCCAGGACTGATCCAGGAGCACTACAAAGCTTTGCAGAGACCACCAGGTGGTGCTGATGTTTTGCTTTATTAACACTCACCCGTCACACCACTTCTCTTGCAGAAACTATAATATTTGCAATTAAAAGGACCGGAGACTTATCAAATGTTTTTAAATGTATAAATTGTCACATGTCAGGAATGTTCATATGGTTTAATGTATCAGTTTCTCACATTACTAAACTGGTCTAATAAAGTTACTACTTTTTTAACTGTCTTTCTCCTTACATTTTCTCCACTGGTGGTCTGTGAATTTGCCATACAAAGTACTTTTTTTTGCCAGAATATTAGTGCAGATTCTCAAATGAAGCAGCACTTTACTTGATTTTTTTTTTAATATTCCTCATGAAAATTACTTAGTTTCATACACACAGAGATGCTGCTGTAATTCCTGCTAGGCATGAGCTGTCACACACTTGGCACCAGACATCAACAGGACTTAAGGAGACAGTGTAGCATGAAAACACAGCAAAACAAGCAGAAGCTGATAAATTTTCAGATTTAATTTTCTTGATTCTTAACTCCTGAAAAGTAGAGGGGACAGGGGAACAAACAAACAAAAATCAAACGTGCTCAAAAAAAACCCCAAAAAAACCCAGAAAACAAGGAGGGTCTGAAGTTTGGACGGGGAGAATGCAAACAATCCCCCACATCCAACTGCAGTCAGTGTGCCTGGAACTTGCATAGTCAACCTGAACCTATGCCAAGAACCACAAGCTCAGTATCTACAAACAGTCACTCCACTTCCATCCTCATCAGTGGTACTGCTGAAGCTGCATCCACAGTCCAGCTTTTATGGCTCCCTAACATGGTAATTTATGAACCTTGATAGAAAAAAAAAAAAAAGCCAATCCAAGGAGTCCCCCAACTTTTCTGTTTGTTTGTTTTTTTTCATTTCCCCCCAAAGCCCTGGATTCAAGTGATTTGTGTCACCATCCTAACTAACTACAGCCACATCTACCAGCTGGGACACCTTCCTACTCCACATCACCTTTCAACTTGCCTGCTCTCTCTAAACTGGGCTCAGTTTTTTTGAATACATTTGCAGTTGCTATTCTTAATCAGCTTGTGCAATGTGGCTCAAAGTCTGAACACGTACTTAGAGCACATCCAGAAAATCACATGGGACCAACATGAGGGTGAGAAGAACAAGACTGTGCATTATGTTTGCCTATCTCAGATTTATCTTGGGACAACAGGAGAGTAACTTCACAGAGAGTTGGTAAGAACTATGAAAAATAAATTAAGGTTTTTAGCTCTACACCATTAATTAAATGGTGTAGAGCAAATGACTGTCATATAGATACTATTAAAATGGGCTGCATTATAAATATTTAATTAAATAACAAAGATATAGAAAAGCACTTGCTCTCCAGCAGGCAAACAAAGTTATATGGAAGATATAAGCACACAAAAGGACTGTAAGTAGTCCTTACTGCACAATCTGCATTTATTATTACGGTAGCACACACTTTGATCACATCATTGTGTTTGGGTTTTCTCCCTGTAATTGTACTCCCAAAAATCAATAGTAGAAATGACAAACAAGCACTGCAGCACAAGAAGCTGGTTTTCATGGTTTTGCTCTGGATTCAGACCAAGAGCAAATTTCCCCAAACAGCCTGGAAAAGTGCATTGGTGCAAAATGTGTGACTACTTGGAGATGCCCTTTCCAGCCCTGGCGAGCTGCCTTACTTACAGAAAGAACTCATACAGTTATTTCAGGTAAAAATAATTACAGATAAATGCTAAAGCACACCAGCAATCCTGAGCATGGAAAACAATTTCATTTACCCAGAAGCTCTGCTAAATTACCTCAGCACTGTTGGGTACAGCTCAGACGTATAAATATACAGGATGTTGAAAGCAGCACTGACCATCATTTTTCCACACAGAGCTAACAAAGTGGGACCCAGGAGGAGACCTTTCAGGAAAGAGAAAACAGGATGTAAGCATGAACAGTCTCTTTTCTTATTCTTTCTTTACACAAATTTCTAGTCCTCATTTGGAGACTGTCACAAAAAGCAGTGTTTAACCCATACATTTTTCAACTACGAGCACAAAAGCAGTATTCTCAGCTCTTCCCAAACAAGCTAGTTTCTTAAGCTAGCTTAAGAAAATTGTATTTAGGACAAAGGAAATCAGATCCTTTTTGTTTGTTTGTTTGGAAACTGTCAAACTATCACATGTCTAAAGGAAGGGCTACTGCTTCCAGCTCTGCAGTCAGAACATCTTCCCAGGTAACTGCATCCTTTGACAAGCACAGACAACATACCCTTCTTGACTAATTTATTAGATTAAAACCATGAAAATTCATTCACCTCAACAGTTTATTTGCTCCCCAAGGACACCCTGTTGGGACTTAAAATTGTGACAGCTCTGTAATTGGAAAGAACGAATGCTAATGCATTTACTAAGTTTACTAAGAGACAGAGTTTGGTTGGCCAAACTGAAGTGTGCATCTTTTAGAGTCCAAAAGAAACTTGGCTTCCATTAACGTGATTTTGGTTATGGTTATGTTTGCACCATATGTTTTAATAAAAAGAGAATTTAATACTTTTTTAGATGAAAAAAGAACACATATTCTAATTAGCTGTATTTCAGATTCCCTTCCTTAGCACTGAGTTCAGCGTTTTTGATTTGGATCAAATGATGTTCATTAAGTCATGGGAAACTCTGATTGCTTCTCAATTGCTTTTCTTTTAGTTTTGCCCATCAGTACTTTCAGTATAATTCATCTGATCCGGTCAGATCCTGTTTCAACTGATGAAGAAATTCATCTGTATGTAAACTGAAATCCAGAAACTTGATTTAATTTCTTTGAGCGTGATGCATTTTTGCACTTATTTCTGTAATTCATGCAAAACAGACGCAACATTTTCACCCAAGTTCTCCTTTTACATGGGAAGAACTGGAATGTTACACACAGTTGCCAGACGGAAAGGCGTGAAACTGGCCCTCCCAGTGCTATTACGTAGATTCACCCTCTGTCAGTCACCCTCATGAGTACAAGTTCATTTGAGCAGGACTTTTGAGACTGAAGGAGTCTATAAACTTACTTCAGACAAAGTACCCACAATGAAAGGGTCGTTCTCAGCACAGAATACTCAACATTAACTAGAGCTGAGGTAAAATCCATTTAAAGAACTGCAAATTCTCTTTCCTGCTGCAGTGGAAAGCATATCAAGGAAAGCCACAAAAAAGTATTATGCCCTGAGCACAAACAGATAAATCTCAGTGAAAGCTAAAATCCAGTTACCCCTAGACTGGGAGTCTCCTTTGCTTGCTGCAGTATAAAACAGACACAAAATGCAGATGGTCTTTCTGCTCTACAGCAGCTTTTGAAAGAAAATAGTATTACAGCTCCATTGCCCCTCTACTGCCACTCTCCCTCACCATCTTCCAGTCTGATACACAAACTAATTGATGAATTTTAAGTGATAAGGAAAGAGGGAGCTGAGGGTTATATCAGTCTTTACTTAACCACTGGCAGAATTTTAGTCTCCAATTCAGTACACATCTTTAATATCAGAAATGCTCTTGGCTTATTCCACAGGGGAAATCACTCGGATCAGATTCTCATTCACAAGTAAGCAGAGTTATTTAGAAATCAAGCAAAGGTTACAGGCACGAGAGGTAGGTGCCCAACATCTCATTAAAATCTTAAATCCCTTGTAAGAAAATCAAGGATCTTATCAATCACTCGGAAGAACAGAGATTTAGACAAATGTAATAGTAATGGGAGGGTCAGACTGGAACTGCAGCAGTCCTTGTTTCATCCAAAGTGACTCATCTTGATCATGCTTGGAACCAAATTTCTTTCTTCTGAACTGACACAGATCACTCTGGGCCAAGAGCCAGCTTTACTCTCACCACAGTGCCAAGTCAGATGTTTTAATGGGATTAAAGACAAATCAACCGGAAAAGGCAGAAGACTTCCTGTAAATAAGGAACTCTTCAGGAATTATTACCCTATCCTAATTAGCCCCTACTGCTTTTCTATCATTTGTTTTAAAATTCACAAAGAGAGGCACAAAGAGCAAACTTGTTGGAATAAAGGAAGACACTGCCTCAATAAAAGGAGCAACAAAACATCTGAGGACTTGAATTAATGCAAGCTGGCATATTAGATTATGGGACATTTTCTCTCTGTCTGCTTTTCTTCCTGAGCCTTTTCTCAGATCAATTAGAACTGGATGCCACACAGCATTTATATCTGTTAAGGATAAACATAGCCTTTGGAAGACTACCTTGGGATCACATGGATGATGCTCTCAGTCAGAACACTGTTAAGGCTGAAGCATTTCTACTGATGGGATGTTAAGAAAAACACAAGCAGAGAGCAGCCACTTCTACTTGTTAGTGTCACACAGACCTAAGTTTTCAGTAGCTAAAATAAATACTAGCATAGAAAAAAAATGTACTTGAATTGGAAATAAAATTGAAAAGACAAAACCGAACATTTTGTGAATGTCACTGACAACGTCAAGAGAAAAACACATCTTTTGAGAAGAGAAATACATGTGATGATGCTCCACTGTTACCAGGAGCTATCCTCACAACTGCATAACACAGTAATACCCAGCTGAGTCTGACAAAGGCAGCAAGCTTCCTGCCATCCCTATGGCTTCCATACTGCAATTCTGACTTCCATTTCTAATTCTCAAGTACAAAATTATTTTTTTTAAGCTTTTAGTGGCTTGGGTGTTTTTTAATTGATGAATTGAACTTCTAATTCCAGAAAATGTCAGGTTTTTTATTTCTGTAAATATCACATGCCACCAAAACCACTGTAAAATTAAGCTTGGCACCTCACACTGTCAAGATCCAAACCAAGATTACACTGCACAGTGGTCTGGCTATGAAATCCAGCACTTTAAGGTGAACTGCTTAACAGTGATCAATGAATGCAGGGTCTGTATCTGAGAGAGAACGGGACAGCTTGGGCTGGTCTTTAGAGAGCCAAGGGCTTACAGCCAGCCCAACTTAGTCAACTAACACCGTCAAATTATGCCGGCAAGGAGTTAAAAGGAATATGGACAAGACCCCGTCTCCCTGACCAGCCCCAAAAAGAGAAGAGAGGGATGTAAATGGATAGGGCACTGGGCCCTCATACACTCGGTCACAAAGTGTCCATCAAGCTATTCTGTCAGCTTTTATCCCAACTTCTGCTTTGCCAGCAGCACACACTTACCAGCATTTGTTGGTAAAAACATGGTAAACACACAGGCAAGTCCTGCAAATGTCAGAAAACACGTCATAGTTTTACGTCTTCCAGACCTGGAAGGAAAAGAGCGCCCGGGTAAAGAGGGAAACAAGGCTCTCCAGTGTTTTTCAGTTTGTCTGCAAATTACCAAAGTACTGAAGTACACAGCAGCACAAGTAACAGCTCTAAATCTATTGTACCTTGGTCAGTGCTTCACATCTTCTGGCTTTTTGCCACTGACCTCAGTGAGACCAAAGTATCGTTACAAAGACACTGAACGTGCAGGTTGCATGAAACCCTGAGGAGCCCTGGGTTGTCAGAAATTTTTGAGCTTCAGAAAAAAGCACCCACACAAAGGATGGCCTCCAAGGACACTGAAAAGTATGAAAATACACAGACATGGATTACCCGTGCCTTCCTGAAAATTGAACAGCTCTCACTTCAAAGTTCTCTTAGAAAAGATTAGGTAAAAATGAACAATGCTAAAAACTGCTTTCAACTGCAGTTGGTAGGCACTACAAAACCATGTTATTCTGAATAAAATATGTAAGAGAGATATATAACCTATAGATACTTAAATAACTAGGCTACTCACTTCTTTCCATAAACACCAAAATTTTTTAATAACATTAATCATTGAAGAGCTTATCTCCGGAGTAATGTAAGATCTGAACAAAACTAAAAAAGCGAAGATGTAGAAAACCAGTCTCATTTCTGTATCAAGTGCAGAAATCCCTACAGCAGAGTAAATCCCCAAAGAATCAACACTGTTTAGAAAAAGTGAAGTATCTCACTGAGAAAAATGTTAGTATTTTTCTAGGGTATCTACAAATACATGCAGAGAACTAGGAAATAAGTTTTTCTTACCAGGATTTCTCAATGAAAAACATGCAGAGAGGAAATGCTGGAACTTCTGCAAGACCAGAAAGAGCCACATTTAAATACAAATTTCCTCTTAATTCACCAGCATTTAAAGTTAGTCCATAGTACACAAAGCTGCAGACATACCTAAAAATAACCAGAAAAGTTATATTATTAACAGAACTGGTCTTTAGGACTAAGAAAGCATTTCAAAGATAAATTATGCCAAGTTATGGATTAGCTATATTGAGGTACATGGTAGGAAGAGAACTCTTAGATCCTCCTGGAAGGGAAATAAGGCAATGAGAAAAGCTCCTATTTAATTACAGTAACTTGGTACAGTTGTATCACTTTTCAAGACAGCACCTAATATAAATCTATGCAACCTGTATTTTATCTTGCTCACAATTTTCCTGCATTGAACCTGTAAAATGTAATTTCAGGCTCTTAACTCTTCTTCTTAATCCAGATCTCTGTGGCTGCCTAATCTGTGCAGCCCTTTTCTTCCCAAGACTGGTTCAAACACACAACCTCTCAGTAATTTCTGCTTCAGCTTCTCACTTCACTCTATGTAAATATTATGTTCTCACCAGATTATTTCTTAGTAGGTTTTGAAGCAGTTTCTAAGTAACATACTGAAAATAAAACACAACAGCAACAATAACGGAACAGCAACCTTGCAACACGTCACTTCACAGGATTATTGTCTACCATCAACCGACACATTTATGACACACTGATGTTCTGTACTTTTTAAAGATACTACTTTTTAGAGAAAAGGATGAAAATGTTCATTACTTCCTCATGTCTGATTCACCCCCAACACCTCAGCACCTTGCTGTCACCCACCAGATGTACATCAGAAGGATGGTTCGCCACCGAAGGACCGGCTGTTTCACCAAGTTCAGGATTCCAGGTGCTGACTCATCCTTCCTCAGAGTTCCTGCACTTGGTTTCAATTTTAGATTTAATTTTTCTTTTCCATTACAAAGGGCAATATATTGCAACACGTCTTCAGCTTCTGCTGTTTTCCCTTGGGAGTACAGCCACCGTGGAGATTCCGGGAGCATGCTAACAGGAGGGAACAGAAGAGCAACAATGACAAGTTCATTCACTGCTCTAAAGTCAATCTTACCATTTTGCCAATCGATACTTGGATAAAAATACCAATACAAAATTCAGAGGAACACATTATAGTTGCACTGTTCTGCACATTCAGTTCCAGGCAGCCTGGTGATAATACAGTTAAACCTTACAGATGGATCCCTGGGAGATGCCTGACAATGCACTCAGTCATGTTAGAAAAGTTTTTATCTCATTCTTGACTTTTGCTGAACTGACTTCTTAGGCAATGCCACAATAGCATGGCCAAGGAAGCATCTCAAACCTCTACTATTTGAACATTCTGAACAAAACCTGGTTTTATTTCAAGCTTCTCCACTACAGGAAGGGCTCCGAGTTGGAGCAGAGAGAAGGAAAGAAACCTTACTGGGGAATTAATTGTCAGGCTCCAGTACCAGCTCATCACTGATCATATAAGATTTAAATCTCTTATTCCCACGTATAATCAGAATATCCTGGCTTTCCACAACTTCGGTTCATTATTCCAGCTTTTCTTTTTCCTCTGTGGCAGCTTTTATATGAGCCATAAAATAAGGAATGGAATATTTTTAACTGAACATTTATTTTCTCCGGTACTCTTAACAGATATATACATACTACAACCAAACTAAACTTTCATTACTTCAGAGGATCCCACCATTTTTAGTTTTTGGGGAAGTAATTCTACTCCATCAGAAACAGAACACTATAGAGGAAAACACATCATGCAGAACTTCCTTTTGCTGCCTGCAGAGTTTGTTTTCCTTGACTACAGGAAGTGAGGTGGGTTTTTTTACTGTATTCTTTAACAGAACTTAATTCAAGAGCAGATCTATCTAAAAAATAATGGAAATCAGAAGAGCTTTTTCCCATCTGTGCCATATGCTAGACATTCCTTGTATTAATGTGCAGGCAACCTACTACACTATTCTTTTATTTCTTCTACAGCTTTAACTAGTGACCAGGAGCATACAAGGTGCATTACTTGATACATTAAAAGAACATTTTCTAAGAACACAGCCCAGACAAAGCTAGCACCTCATTCCTTAAATACTGATGCATTTTATAATAATTTTTTGATAATGTCAGTGTGGGAATTCTAAATAGGAGCACCCAAGCACAGCAGCGCCAGGAATAGACACAAGGAACCTCAAAAGCAAGCAGATACACTAAAAAGGCAATTCCTAGTGCTCTCACTTAGTTCCCTTTGCATGCTGAGTCTCATGGAGAGGAACTCTACAATCCCTTCCCAAGCTCTGAAGCCCTGCCTTGGCAGAAGGTAGCGTTCCTGCCCCTGGGAGATGCTCCAGCTCACAGCCTCTGGTCGGCCTTCTCTTCCCTTCCCAAGCAGATCTGTAACTGAGTTTCCTTGGACAGCTGGCACACAGCTGCTCTCTGCAGCGCTGGCCACCACAGCTGTAACAACATGCAGAAACACAAGCCTGTCTGCTGGGTAACCCCAACTTTCTGCTTCACTTCACACCCCTTCTTCCTGCACAACACAGTTTTAACTCCTGCTTGGCTCACAGAACCCTACAGAAAAGTGTCACCCTCCTTTACACTCCTCTCAAATGGTGACAAGAAGAAGGAACTGTTCATTACTGCATATTTTTTTTCTTATCATGAGAACGCACATGAACCACTTACAAAGAGAGGAGGAGGAAGAAAACTCCTGGAGTGTTCGACACCAAGGCGAGGTAGCGCCACTCTCTGATACAGTAACCCAGCAAAGCAAAAACAGCAATGCCAACTGCAAATGTCACATTAGTTAGTGAACCTGAAAAAAACAAGAGCAAGCCAATCACCACAGAAAACCATTGGCAAAAGGGAAAAAAAATTCTTAAAGCAGAAGCCTGAAATTCCTAAATAAAACAGCAATTTTATGAGCTATCTTTACAGCACTTGTGAACCAGCTGGCTTAAGTGTAACATGGAATCCCAATGAAGAACAGCTTTGTGTAGTGTATGGGAGAGTTGGGTGGTTTTTTTCCCCTTTAAAAAATAAAAGAGTAGGACATAGGAGAGAGCAAGACATGAACAGGAACTTAGAGACTAAAGAGAACACCTGAGGACAGGAGGGGAAGCATTGGGAGCAAGTGATTTATTTAGGTCTGTTAGGGAAATCTGGAATAGAAGCAGCAGGCTGGAGCAGAAATTGGAAGTTACAGAAGTACAAGGACTGAGCTCAGTACAAAACCAGCTGCCAATCCTGGGGTTTATTACAGCAGATTTCTGATGAACAAACATAAAGAAAAGTGTTTAAAATACAGGGTCAACTGGAACTCCAAAAGCCTAGCAACAAACCTTCTGCAGCCAAACACAGGAGATCCTGTGGCTCCCAGACACTCGGAACTGTGTCCCACAAAGCCCAGCTCACACCAACATCCTGACAGCTGCTCTGACACAGCTGAGCTGCATCCAGCATCTCCCTCTCCCTCAGCCCCTCCTTCTCAACGCTGAGCACAACTGGAATAGAGCACCTAGGGCAACAAGCAGCAGGAAATGGCCCAGCTTGTCCATCCATCGGGAGGCTGGCCCTGCAGGGAGGAGGCTGGGAAGAGCAGAGGGAGACAACTGGGCAAGGGAGGAGGAAGGGCAGGAGAGAGAGAGAGAGAAAGCACAAGTCAGAAAAGTGAACTCAGAAGAGGAAAATTCAGTACTTAAAAAAAAAGGTGAAAGGTTATAACTAAACCACAACTGGGTCATACACCCCCAGGAGCTCAGAGAAAAAAGTAAGAAAAACAGCAGAACAAGGCAACTGAATAAATGAGGGAGAGAAATATGCTCATCACAGACACAGAAAGCCAGCATTTGGACTATGTTTTTCCCCATGTTGTGTCTGCCGGAAAGGCGTTACAGCCTGAGCTACTCCAGCTTTGAAACTGTCTGACATCCAAGAGTTAAACTTATTTTAAGTCTCAGCATTGGCATATGACAAAAGGACATTTAAAAATACTGGATGGTCAGCACATTCAGTAGTGGAAAAAACACTGTCCCGGCACCAGCTCATTTTGTGGTTCACAGAGACTTTTCCCAGAATACCTTCCCGAGGTACCACACAGGAGAAGTTGGCAGGATCTGCCAAAACATTTGTTTTCTTTTTTAATGTAATGCAGTGTACAAATTGAGAAATTTTAGGAATTAGTGTATCAATTCAAAAACCTCAGTTTTGCTACTTATCAAACAAACTCAATTCCATCTCCCTTATTCAGGCACCTTTCCCACAGAAATGAGAACTTGGATGAATCACATCACACTCATCTGATTTATACTACAACTGACTTGACTTTGTACAAACATAAAATGTAAGGCACTCATAGAACAATATGTGTCACAGTAACAATGATTAAATATATCCCAAATCTCACCTGTAAATGACCAAAATGATTTTCCTACATATTCTTGTGTTAGGACAAAAGACACAAGAGCCATTCCACCATTCACGATTCCAACAAAAAAACGCGAAACCGCAAATATGTCATAATTCGGAGCTAAGGCTGTGACATACCCAAAAATGACATCAAAAAAGAGACCTGTAGAGACAGAATAAAATGGAATTAGTACTTCTGCTACACAGCTTGAACTCCAAAACAGAGCAGGGACCACAGTCAGCGACTGACTATAATGAGTAGACTTTAGTGCTCATCTCCCATGTCTTGCATTTGGCTTTCTGAAATCACATAATATGAAAATTACAATCATTTTCAAGGCACACACTTGAGGCCTGCAATGTCAAAGGTGACATTTCCTTCACACAATGTTCTCATTAAACAAAAAGACCCTTTGGTTGCAAAAGGGTTTGGAAAACAGAACACCAGGAGAGGAGGAACCCACTCTAAAGATGTTTAGGGAAATCATTCTCACCCTCCAAAAATGGGCAAATTATTTTTCATTTGGAACAATATGGTTGGGCAATGTGTGGAATACTGCGCTCCAGTAGTGATAACCAGGGTAAACCAGGTTCTTTTTCATCTGCCATCGATATTCTGTGACCTCTGTGTTGCTCAGCACACTCATATTGGCAATTTCAGTGCTGCTCCACTCTGGGTGACAAGCTGACACAGATCACTGACATAGCAGGGGACCCACGATCAGCCTCTGAGCAGGGTGGGCCAGGGGCAGGGAAGAAAAGAGATGTTATTCATGTAGAATGCTTAAGAAAAATCTTTTAACACTCCTACCTGAGATATACACTGGTTTCCTGCCCAGTTTATCTGACAAAGGGCCAAATGTGATATTTCCAATGAGCAGTCCAGCAAAAAACAGGGATGATGCAAGGCTTACTTTGTAGGTTTCTCGGTCAATTAGGTACCACTGCCAAAAAAAAAAGAATATCCTTTTTAAAAGTATGAACACCAAGTTGCTGCTTTCCTCAAAAATAATGAAAAATCTATCAAAATTCTTCACTTGCCATTTCCCACTTGTTGTTTTATATCCCATTAAAGTTTTATTCAAAGCTTGTAGGTAAGCCCACAGTAGCCATGTTTTTGCCTCCCCAACAGACTCTAACATCTCTCCCTCAGGAAATTTCAATGTAATATATTAAAATCTTTCAACTTAGTAAGTGCAAATAGTTGCACCCCAATTCCCAAGCTTTGGTCAGGCAGCTTACCTTAGGTTATTAAAACAAGGAGAGTCTGAACTGTTAACAGTTTATCCAGCACTGAACCAACTCGGCTGTTTCAAAGCACAGGTATTAAAAATCCTTCCTTGGCAAGAATAATGCACATTCAGTGCTGCAGTACTCAGAGAGTTAATGTTGTGCAGCTGTGCTTCCTGAACTACCAGTGATCCCTGGTGCCCTTCCCCACCATACGCATGCTGAACCCTCGAAGGGATTACGGAAAAATGTCCTTGTTTCATAAAAATGCCAAGAACTACTTACAGACTACTCACTGGTGTTTTAGTATCTCATTGCACATGTGCATTTATAGCCAAGCCAAAGTTAGAAATGCTTCATGGGTTTCTTCACAAAGTGTACTTTCTACCTCATCCAAAAGCTAAACTGAGGCAGTGCGGTCAAAAATCATCAGAAGAGCAGAAAATGAGCTCAGAGTGGGTTGAAATCAGAATGAAACACTATTTCCTGCTGGGGCAAGGCAGACAGAGAGCTTGTGCAGCCCCTGTGCTACAGACAGGGAGAGTCAACACTCACAGAAACACTCTGCTGGACTTACAAACACTGCTGACCCCATCAGCTTGGGAAAGAATCAGAAAATCCTAAGTCATTTTCCAGGAAAGGAAAAAAACTAATTCAACGCAAAGCTTTACCCAGAGGACTATTTCATCATTATTTAAGTATTTCAAATAATTCCCAGTGTATTTACTGGAAAATTTATTTCCAAAAAAGCAGATGAGTGTCACACTGGATAAAGATGTAGCCCCAAAACTTATGGTTTCTTAACTTTCTGAGGAGACTTCAACAATTAAATACCCCTGGGCATAAACCCTCAGGAAAATTAAAGTATAAAAATATCCCTGCATGTGCTCTCCAAGGCACAGAGCACTCCTTCTCCACTCTAGCACTCCACACCACACAGATTTCAAACTCCCAGTTCTTGTCTGCAGAGTATTTCAGGCTGATACAAGAGACCACACAACTTTATGCTCCTGGATATGGTTGCAAAAATCCACTTCTCAAGAGTAAAGGACCATTTCTACACCAAATGTAGAAGTTCCTGAACTCACTGTCCAATCCTGAACTCACCTTCCTAAGCACCATCACTCGTTAAAGCAGGGGACTGAGTTGATGCCAGAGCAAGAAGCAATTCTAACAACTGTATTTTTCATAAACTAAGCCTAAGCTATTATTTATGAATTCTTAGTTATGCCAAAATTAATTACAACAATTAGTTCCTGAAGCAGAACTCAAGAGCTGCTCTGGAGGTTTTTTGAGAACAGTTCCCCTGGATAACCAGAACAGAACAGAGAATATTTAATCTCCACAAAGTTTAATCTCCAATTCCAAAATAAAGAAAATAAAATTTACAGAAGCAGCTTCCTTTCTCAGGGCAGAACCAGGAAAGATTGCTTTTGCAAACTGTTCCTTATGCTGCTCGGCGGATGCATGTTTGCATTTTAACAAGTCTGATGTAACGAGCTGTGAAGAATGTAACTTTTAAAAGAATGCATCCATCTATTTTATTTGCACAAAGAGAACTTGTTAAATACTTTTCAAAATGAACTACAGCTTGCCAACAAAAGCAATTTTGCTCTCACCAAAACAGACATCCTCTCAGTTCTTTATATCCACATGGCAGTGTGATTTACTCACTAGACCCTTAGCAGCAAAATGCTGGTCAGCATCTAATGATTCTATAAGAAGACTGTTAACAATACAGTTTTAAAAAATCTTAAAGTTACCAAAACACATGGGAACATAAATCTGTTTTGATGAATCTTGGGAATTACCACATATTTTGAAAATAGGGACACTGGCTCCTACATTTAGAAACACAGTCTTAGTTAAAATTTGTTGATTTCTGGTTATAAATTAAGCACTACCCCACATCAGCCATCCTGCTGAAAGTCTGGAACTGAAGGGTGATCTTGCTAATCAAAAAAATCTCTTTCTGACAGAGGATATGATCCAATATAGCATCATTCCTCCAATGTCTAGTCACTACATTTCTCCAAGGTAAACATCACACAATCACACTTGAGATAACAGGAAGGCAGTAAAATTTGGCACCAGCTACACCAAGTGCTAACCTGTCTTACAGGAGTTTACTGAGAACTGCTCCAAGAATTCCATCAGCAGAACTCCAGCAGTTCAGGCCACCACTCCAGCCACCCACACAGCCTGTTTTCTGGCACTGGCAGCATTGCTCAGGTCACTCGTGCCTGTCTGAGGGATTACAGCCCAGGGACCAGGGAAAAGCAAGCAGAGCCTCTTGCCTGGAATTCATAAGGCATAAGGATGAAGAATAAAACTTCTGTCCCCCTCAGCAAACTTCAGTCTGTTCCATCTCCCGCTCTCACCACACATTAAAATATCCAGACATGTGGTGCACAAGTTCCATTTTCATATTGGTTTCATCTTCTGTAAGGAACCAATGTAACTCATGGCCAAGCTTACATGCACAGCAGATTTTGCAGGCACGACAAACTGGACATCTCTCAGCACTCAACAGACATTAGGAGGAGCTCATCCTAAATTCCAGTTATAAACTGGAATTAAATGATCATTCTTCATTAATAATGACTTTCTAAAACAGCTGAAGGTAAAACTGAAAATAAGTAACATACAGAAAGTTCAACCTAAATTAATAAGTATTAGATTTACACTAGGAAAACTAAACTAATAATTCAGTCGCATACTTTCCGATTTAAAATTAATAACAAAGTCAAAGAGCCAAATGGTGGATTCCAAAGATTTTTAGTAGCATAAGCCAGACATTACACTAAGCCCTGCTTGGCTTTTCCACATGCCATGTCCTGCACCAGTGGCACAAATTCCAAGAAGAGAAGAACTGATGACACTGAAGGAAGTACTCGCCTCAGTGACGATGGATGTGAAGTTGCTGGCAAAACGGATGTGCTTGGCAAGCTCAGCTTTGCTCGCTGGAATTCCCTCCTGGTCTATGTGGTACCTGGGCACAGCTCCCACGAGCACAATAAGCATCGACTGGCAAGCCACATATACCTTAAAATACAACACAATCAATCACTGACCCTGAACAATCCCAAAGAGACCTGATGGAATATTGCAGGCTTTTCATTAAACTAACAATTAACAATTCCCCAAAGAAAACACAGTCAGTCTACTGTGTCTAAATCCCCAGATGTGACCACGAAGGCCGTTGGGAGCAGCAAGTACCACCCCAGAGAGGCTGGTGCACTTCCAATGGAAAATTCATCTTCACACCCTCCTTCCTGGTGTGGAGTTGTTCGTTTTGTTCTTGCAGATTTTAGCCAGACAAAGGAAAGGAAGATATTAAAAACTTCATTATAATTTCATAGGTGAGATTTAATACTTACATTTTTTTATACATAAAAGTTTTACTTGAATGAGTATATTTATTCATTGAGATGGGCTTCAAAACGTTTTGAACATCTTCCAGGCTTTGCACATAATTTTATTTTTTCTAACTTAAAATAACATTATCCCTAAGCATATCCACATATCAGTGATTTTTAGTATGCCACCACTAAGGGAAAAGTTTTGACTCCAGAATGGCTCCCTCCATTGGGCCACAAGTCTTCAGATGGTGCCTTCGGCTGGATGTTGTTTTAATGGGCCATCTAATCCTGTGCTTACCTTGGACACTCTTGCAGAAACAAGTTACAAAGAAAACCATCAATCAGCACAGTCTCCCTTCCTCCCAGTCGTGTTTAATTCTAATAGGAGGAAGCGAGAAAACTAACCGAGGGAAACAGATAAATATTTGCATGCTGGGGCATGGGTACTATTTAAAAACAGCACTCTGCATACCACTTTCAGAAGAGATTAAAATAGGAAAAAAGAAAGAGAAACAGAAAAAAAATGGTGTAGTTAGACTCCATTTCCCTCATCAGCAGAAGCATAAAAGGCGCTCTTTAAAAAGCGAGCAAGATAAAAAGATGAGCACAGGAATAAGGAAAACACATCATGAACTTTGACAAGTTAAGCACGCAAGGCAGCACTGAGGTAAGAGAGAGGTTTGACAGCCCCCTGCAGCCCGGGAGCGGGGCGAGGATGTCCCGGCAGCGGCACCGCCGTGCCCGCGATGCTGCCTGGGCTGTGCGAACAGAAACCAAAAGCAGCGCCCGGGGGTCCCGCCGCGCCCTCACCTGCAGCAGCACCAGCAGGGCCGTGAGGCGCCGCTGCCCGCGCCCGAACGGCCCTGCCGCCGCCAGCGCCTCCTCCACATCCAGCCCCAGCTCCAGCGCCAGCCCCGGCCCCGCCGCCATGGCCCGCCCGCTGCGGCGCCCAGCCGGGCTAAGCCGAGCCCAGCCGAGCCGAGCTCCGCCCCGGCCGTAAAGCCTCACCCGCTGCCGGCGCGGGGGCAGGACCGGCCCCGGCCCAGCGAGGACTGCCGGGGAGGGTTTGGAACGAGAGCGCTGCCACAGCCGCCGAGCGGGGCGGGCGGAGCGCGGGGCATCTGCGCCAGGCAGTGGGGAAAAAACCTCCCCACGCTGCAGGAAGAAAAGGCAGGAGGTGGGGCCAGGCAGGATGCTGCGAGATATGGCCACATCTCCTCTCCAGCAAACAGGCAATCACGGGGTGCTGCGGGAGGAGAGCAGAACAGCCCCGGCAGTTGTTCCAGAGCTGTCTGAAAACGGGAGCGGCTCTCCCTCTTTCATAGCCTGGATTTTAAGAGAAGCAGTGTTGTTCATCAGGATTTCATCTAGACTAGATAATTGCATGCTGCTACCAAAGGTAAATTTTGCTCAGTACTACCAAAGGTTAATTTTGCTCAGTAGCCTTTTCCCCGGGCTGCTGTCTCTGGTCATGTGGTAATTGGGCACCTACTGAACTAGGAGGCTTGCCCTGCCAATTCAATAAACAATGTGAACTACCACAAATGCTCTCTTCACCCTCTGGCTTTCATCTAGCTTGCAGGGTGACACCAAAAAGCTCCACACCCTATAGACAGCAGGAGAGCAGGAGAAACTCCTTTCAAGTTGGGAAGTCTAGTATTAAGAATAGAGACATTAACTATCATTAATTAAGGTGTTTGACAAAAGCACAGTGACCAGCCTTGTTTGGTGCAATTTCTTCAAGACTCTAACACACAGTTACATTTGCATTTTTCCTACCATTACGTTTGAAGGTGCAGCTTTTACTATTACACTTTGTACAGGGTTTTAGTTCTGCTTTGGGGTTTTAAGTCTTTCTCCTTGGCCTGATCAAGAAATGCTTTGAAGCAGTAAGTTAGTATGACCTCCCCTTAGTATTCTTATTCCAGGAAAACTAAAATTAGTAGAAAGATTGGCTGTCACAGCACACCTCCCCGAGGAAGCAGCAGGTGCCACGCAACAGAGTGAGTTTGTTGCCCAGGAACAGCTAAGTGAGGGTCAAAGTGCTGCTTACCTTGGAAGTGGACCAGCCTGGAAAAAAGGAAGTTTCTAAATAATTTCTAAGCTTCCTCATCCACGTAGTCACTGTACATTGGCAGACAGCAGTGAAGTCCTGCATTTTGAGGTCCTTGTAGTCTCTGCTCCAGCTGCTTTTGTGATTCCTGCCCTAATTCAGACAGAGCAATCTGTCACTGAACCTTGGCAAAGGTGGGCAGACATAAGACAGGCTCCTGTTCCGTTCCTGAATACAGCTACAGAAAGGACAACAGTAATTTTGGAACTCTACTGATTTTACAAGACCTATTAGGTTTCCCCTCATATTCCAACATCTGTTTTCTCATGTTAGTGTGGAGAACACACAATGCCCAAGGACTCAAAAAAAAGAGCCCCCAAAAACCTGTCCCCGTTGCTGCTGCATCTGCTTCACCTTTAACATTTCGGCCTAAGACATACATACCAGCAGTGTTTTAGAATCATCAGGTAATGATTCCCTGAGTGGGTCTCACCAGCATCGTGTTACACAGCAGGACAGGGTTTCAGCCCACATTCAGGAATGTTCCTGAATGTGGGCTGAACAAATAAAGGAGAAAAGGTCAGCATTGTTTTCTGACATCCACAATTTTTTGCCAGGGGGTTTGTACTGCATGAACTGCTCTAACATCAGGAACTGAATCACTGCAAGGTCCCTTACAGACAGATGAATTTTCATAATTATTTCATATTTATTTCCACTGTCTCTCAAATCTTTCTCCTCAATTAACATTATTAAGCAATTCTTTCCTTTGAGGCAGTAAGTCAGGAGCCATGCAAACAAGGTCCAGAGAACATGGTCACTGAGGTTTTGGACTGGGTTTTGGGAGGGCTGTTAACAGCTTATTTGAGCTGTTTGAGAAGGACACCTTCCTTCTCTGGGTCACCACAGGAACTCTGCCTAGGAAACACAAACTCAAATCAGTTTGCTGTCCAGCAGTTCCCCAGGAAGGTGTATCCTTTGAGACAGGAAACATCTCAATTTGAGTTTACTCTGAACCAAACATCTCACACAGGTAACATTGTACCATTTTCAAGTTGCCTTTCCCAGAGTAAGTTACATTGCAGTGTAAATTTGCTTCAGGTTCCATGGCAGATCCCCAAGGCAGGTCAGTCACCCTTCAAAGAGTTTTAAAAGCCTCTCCAAAGTTCAGATGGGTTGTTTTGGTGCTGGAACCATTATGATAAACAACAGAACACAGATCACATACTGACTGGTTTGTTAATCGTAATTCAGGTAATAAAACATCCATTGCATCCTGCTCAAAGCAGCATTTATTAAACAGAGCATCAAGATAAGTCAATGCATAACAAAGCCTTCCCTCCTACAAATATGTAAACAAGTTGTCAGCAAGTTATTATTACAATATAAAAATTAAAGCTTACATTGCATTTTTTAAAGCTACTAACTTCAGTCCAAATGTAGACAGTCTCTGGTCTATAGCATTTAAAAATACAAGTTCTTGAAAAATGTTAAAGTATTGCCCTTGCACATACACATCTTTGTAGAAAAATACTTAAAAATACCAACTTCCCATTAACAAAAGCAACACCAAAAATAAAACACATTATTATCATGAAGAGAGTTTTAAATGCATCCAGCATTTTCTTCACCATTCTGTTTTATCAAATTATCTTCTGTTCACTTACAATTCATTATAGTTTGTAAAATGTATCTTCGATATTAATCAGTTACTTTCATATACCAAAGAAATTCACAATATTGGCAATTACATTGTAATCAGAGTCTGGCCTAAGCTTACTTGCAGCTGAGGCCATCAATTTAATCCTCATCTCAAACATGGGTATTCGAACATGTACAGTAGGCTCTTGCTCAGAACTCTGAGTCAGTTCACATATATTTTGGAAAGGCTTGAAACCTTGATATGATTTTAACAGAAACACATATTCTCTTTTAAAACACCTTTAACCTGTGTGTAAGTTTTGTTTAACTACATTAGCAGTCCTGTTGGTGGCTGTCAATTCTCAGGAAATACTTTGAGAAAAAGGTTATCCAATTTGACATGAACTACATTTTACAGTCCAAGACCAAACAGAATGCTAAGGTAAACATCAATTTTTAACATTTTTTCCAACAAGTTTACTGACAAGAGCTAGACAGATGACTTCTGTAGTTGCTAAGGCAAGAAAACTTTGAAAATTCTCTGTACACAAAGTTTAAACGATTGTGCAGTATTTCAAACCCAAACTAAATTCAACAAGCAAATTGGGATGAAAGCTAATCATGCCATTGTGCTCTGCTGACATCAACTGACAATGAACAACAAGAAGAAAAAAATTAAGATAATACACAGTGAACCACTTTCAGGATGAATTCAAAGAGCAAAATCAGGCTGTCAAGAAAAGAATTTTACAGCTAGTTATTGGACTGAACAAAACAGCTAGGAAAACACTGGGAGTTTGGTCACTCAAGACAGTATCTGAGAGAACCGAAGTACATTTATATGGAAACAGTAATGAATATGAATAATTCTGCCAGCTTTCCTAGTTCCATGCAAGGTTCAAGAAAGAGTTTATTTAGCCTACTGAGTTAGCAAGTTAAGTCTGCCCCAAGCTACAGCCTCAGGTACACAGAGACACAAAGAGTAACTTCCTGACATGAGTGTGGTAGAGCCTGAAATACTCAGATGATCTCCAGCTTTGGAAGCGTGTTAAAAATGCAATCCCCAAAAGAGGATCTATGTGAACCTGTAACAGGAACTATATTTCTGAAAGAAGGGCTTACCTTGCTCCTTCATGCAGGATTCTGATTTGTAGAAAAAAGTGATCGTTTTATTGCCATGCTTGCTGATAAAAACAAGCATGATGAGTTACAGCAAAACGCAGCAGCAAGTGCTCGAGGAGGATGCTCAGCTGGACAGTAAGCCAGAAATTCCATCCCAGGTTACCAGAATGTCCAGAGAGGGGTGAGATGCAAATGCAAAAGCTTCAGCTTCCTCTAAGGTCTGACATATCTTAACACACACACAGCCTCTCCCTTGCACTCAGGGAAACAGATGAGAAGCACAAACATTCCTGGGGCAGAAGTGACTCCCACACCCTGGGGAGGAGGCTGCCTTTGTGATCACTCCCTCCCCACAGACAGCAGCTCCTTGTAAAAGCTGGATCACAAGGTGCAGTCTTGGCTAGAGGACAGGATTTCTGCTCTCTCACTTGGGAGAGAGCAGCCTTCCTACCGTCTGATACGTGTCTTTGAGTAAAGCAATCCAAACTTTAGATTTTTAATCACATGTGGACAGCTGGGACTTCTCACTACAGCACTGAA